CTCGCCCAGAACGTTCCCACGCTTGGCACTGCCACCTGGATGTTCCCTCTGGGTCACACTACACAACTCTAAGAGCTGTATAGTTGTGGGCATGTGACCCATTCCTTTATATAGCAACCATGCGGGGAGATGAGACCTTTACCCTTCTTCTCATCTCATGCCCCGCATAGGCAAGTGTATATATTCCCTTTCTTTTACTATACATCTCATGCCCCGCATAGTGTGAGGACAGGCCAGATGGGGGTTGAGGTCAGGGAGCCTCCGAGTCCGAGGCCGAGCCCTGACAAAGTGGTGAAGACATCGGCACCGTGTTCTCATTGATTTCCCGTTTGTCTATGACTGTGCGGATGCGGACTTCTCCATTGGGTCCAGGTTTCTTCTTGAGTACTAACAACGGCATTCCATTAGTGCCATTATAGTAGACCCAACAACTGGATTTCAGCATTACATCACACTTCTTCTCCCATAGCGGTCTCAGTGGTTCCAGGCACATTGCTCGGCGGAATCTATAGATCTTCTTATCATCCTTGAGTGGGATTCGGTGATTGATATCTCATAAAGGAGGCAGTGGGGTTTCATCAAATGCTTTACAGAGGTGTATTGCTTCGTTCCTCAACATCTCTCATAACTTTTCCAAATCTTGGCTAATTATCGCTGATCTCACGGAAGGAATCACCACGGAGTCTTCTTTCTTTAGGGATAGTGGGTTTTCAGATCTGACATGTAGGCGTGGCAGGTTCAGGCCTAACAGCACTGAATGTTGATATAGGAATGGAGTGCCTAAGATCACATCATAGTCATGAATGTTCATGATGTCAAATCGTTTCTTACAATCAATGTCCTTGTACTTGAAGTCTACAATTGCTTTGAGTTGGACGTTCACTCTAGATCCTGTGACTGCAAGTTGTACTGGAAGGACCGTAGATAGTTTCGTACTCAGGATCTTCAGTTGGTCCACACAAGTGGTGGATATAAAGTCAGCTAGTGATCTGGAGTCCACTAACGTTCTACAGATACTACCATTAATGTGGGTTTTTATAACCATCCCTTTCGGTAGGATTTGCATGATGTCTTTAGGGATGGCTGTTGTACGCTCCAGGCTATTGGTCAGTTTCGTGCCCTCCTTTCGGAGTTTATCCCCTCTAGACTTGGCAACGTTGGCTTTGATATAAGCCGTTCTAGGAATTGAAGCGCTAGCGCTTAAGGCATATATGTGTTGAGTGAGCTCATCTTCAATCATGTCCTCTAGGTTTCTGATGTTTACTGCATGAGCACTTACACTAGGATTCTCTTTAGACACAGGGCAGTCTTTCACCAGGTGGCCTGACTGTTTACAGTTGAAGCATAAGCCTTTAGCCCGTAGCTCCTCGCTTTCTTCCTTGGACAGTCTAGTCCATGAAGATCTGGGTTATGCCCTCCATTCTTTTTGTCGGGATCCTTTCCTTTCTTATCATCAATCTGTTTGTCAGCTCTATCCTGATTTTCGCTGTGTTTCTTTTGTCCTTTCACGCTTTCAGGAACCTGCTTACCCTTCTCGCGCTCATTCTGGCGATTCTGGGTTCGTTTACGACTTTCCTCATATTTGACCATCTTCTTTGAACGCTCTGCATTCATGGTGATAACCTTTAACTCATCTATTGAACCAGTGTCAGGACTAAACCCATAGTCCAACAGTTTGATACGGTAATATTGGTCTAGGCCATTGAACACCCTTTGTACAAATTGACGATCCGTAATGTCATCTATCCTTTTTCTAATGCGATCCATGTCCCGTACGTATTCCTGGACAGTTGAGTTCCGTTGTGTCCAACGTTCAAAACGGTCACGTTGTATCTGTCTGAATTCTGGGGGAAAGCACTCGTCAAATAGTGCTTTAACAGCTGTGGTCAAGTTCCAGTCTTGTGGTCTTAATGCAATGGCCGATACATACCAAGATGCGGCTTTGCCACTTAGCATGTTTTGAAGATGCTTCACTTCATCCCTTTTCCGAACTTTGTTCAACTCAAAGTAGGTCTTCATTCCAGCAAACCAGACTTCGAATTTATTGTAGTTTGCGTCACCATTGTATGGTTCTGGACCTTTGACTTTTACTTGCGAACTCGTATGTTTTTCCTTTTTGAGTAAAGTTAATAGGAGACTGAGCTCGTTCCTTGAGCCCATCCTGTTCAGTTTCCCTAGTTTTAGTAGGTCCGAGTCATCAGTGTGGATGGTACTAGTTCTCTTTGATGAATTTGATGATGAGGAGCCGTCATTGCTGCTGTCATCGGAAGGGTCCAATGGAGTCAAGTGTTTCGCTAGGAATGATGACAGAGGTACAAACATTGAAGCTTTGGGTACCTTCATTGTCACATGGTTCTGTACCATAGATTCAGTCTTGGATTTCCTTTCCTGCTCCTTGGGTGTCATTGATTCCCATCTCGCAGCTTTATGTCTAGCTAGCCTACGAGATGCCAATGCATTAACAGTGGTCTCTGTGCTAGATCTCTCTTGTAGAATCCTCCGGGTCTGTATCTTCAGTTCATCAGACTCGCTATTGTTATCCAATTCTGTACTACTTTGTGGTCTGGCAATCAGGGTGGGTGATACTGAAACAGTTTCATGCTCTTTACCCTTCTTGGTAGAGGTGGAAGCTTCTGTGGCTTTAGTCTTTGTAGCTGAATACAGTTGTGCGCCACCTTCATCTGAAAGTGTATCTGTCCATAGGTCCAGCATTTGTGGTTTAGATTCATGCTTCACAACAAGTTCTCTGAAACATAAGATCTTATTGAGTGCATGGTCTGGCATTGACAGTATATCAGATAGTGAGAGAGATTTCTTGTCAAACTCCGCGTATGAGTTCAGGTAAGACAAGGGATCTAGGGGGGCAATAGGGGTCTCTGGTGACAACTGTCGTTCTGTACTTAGGTCTTGTTCACTAACTATAGACATATCATCCTCTACCTGCAGGGAGAGAAAATTGACTTCCGCATAGTGGGCATCCTCTACCATAATATGGGAGGGAATAATCTCATCTGCCTCGTGGGCATCCTCTACCAATGTATGGGAGGGAATTACAGGGCTAGTCCCCAGAGCGGTATGTTCTTCGCTCTCTGAATCTGAAGAATCACTCACTGGATCTATGACTTGTTCGTCATTCTCTTCGGTCTGTCTGGCACCTAGCATGCTTCCCGGCATCGTAGCTAGGTCACCTTGTTCGTTTTCTGTCTCAAGAGTAAGCTTGACAGCATCTGTCAATGAACTCCCAGTGTGTACAAGTTGTTCATCAGTCATCATTGGCTCAGGAGCCAATGTGTCTACTGAGAAGGAACGGTCACGACGACTCACCATGGGTACGTAACCCTTTCCACTTCTCAGTCTCATCATCTTTAGCTGCAGCTAGGTTGTGTTGTATGTGGAGGTAAGGGTAAACTTGAGGTGGCCGGCCTCAAGCTTTGAACTCGGCGTTAAAGGTTAGATCAAGGTAATCTTAAGTCTATATATCCGATCATTTGACTAACACCAGTTCTTAGATACGAGTAGCCAGTCCTCGCAGGAGGGCGAATGTAAGCGGTGTGCTTACATAAGTAGTCTGATGGATATATGTACCCGTCCAAGTTTTGTTAGTTAGACAGAACCTCTTGTATTTACCCCGTAAATCAAGCCCTTTTGGACCTGTGACTCTCTCAGTGACCTAGTGAGTTCGTTAATCCTTAAGGACTTAGCCATCGGCGACAGCCGATCTTGAGGTTCCTCACAGACAGGCCTAATGTAACAGAACTCACTCAACCGTCTCCAGAGATATCCCCTTGGCACTTACAGGAAAGCCTGGCTGAATCCCCGCACTGCCTACTAGTGGAGTCGCGAGCTAACTTCAACACAATGGACGTTACGTGAGGCAATCCAAGTCATCAGGCACATATATATAGGACTAACATTAATACGAGGGATAGTAGTACGGCGATGGAAACATGTTAAGTAGCTCCCTGACAAGTCGTTAACATGTTGTCGGAAACAACAAAGTTCCAAAGGCAGATTAGGAACAACTTGGGAGGAGAAAGTTTTCAAGTTGATCCCACATGTATCTGCGTCAAGCGAGCAGGCCATTTTTTTGACATACAACCCCTCCTGAACGTCCACTGTCAACTTCCTAAGGAACATGGTGTGCCACCACCAAGCGCAGGTCCGTGGTGAACCACTTGAACTTGGCGGAAGGAAACATTTCATGACGGAGCAGCTTGGGTGGGCCGGAGCATACGGAGGCAACTGGCTTCGTGTAAGCATACAAATGGGCTGGAGTGCCGCACAATCGAGAGGTGAAGAATAAACATGGGGAAGCCTCGGGAAGATCCATAATCATCATGGAGATGCGCCGAGCATGTAGACAGGACGCTACTTATATATACACGGATAGAGATTTCCTTAAGAGACACAGGCGGGCTTTGTGGGGCTCAATTAATAATGCAATGAGGAAGGGGTTCAACGGCACGAGGCTCGTGTAGTGGGAATATTGCGAGGATTATTGGAGATTGAGATAGTACAGTAGAGCGTCCCCATTCGGGAACAAAACAGTTTGCCCCCCGAGTTGCGAAGTCCGATAAACCCTGGGTCGAAATTCAAAGGGGTTTCCTCTGGCTCGCTCTGATTAGGGATGGGAAGTGAACAGAGGAATTTAGTGGAGTTGGTTTCCCCTCTTAAACGGGGACTTTTCATTTTATTATTTATTTATTGTTCGCATGGTTGTAAAGCTAGCCATGAGTCGAAATACCAAGGTCGTCGCCAGTGGGTGGGATTCCGATACCCTTGCTATAGAGTGAGTGACTCAAAGCACCTGTTGGATCCGTAGCCACAATAGATTAAAGCAATGTCAGTGATGATAGGAAGTCATCGAAGAGGAAAGGGGAAATGATTCGAAAGTTCAATTTGGACGAAATTTCCCTTCGATTCCCGAACATGAAAAGTTCGGATTTCAGGTACAGCACAAGTCACAAGAGGACCTCAATTTGCAATCATTGAAAGCACTCCAATAAAGGCTGGTATCCCAACATCTGTTAGCTAGAATGCCGGTAACAAAGAATGAGTGCACGACTCCTCATCGGGCTATACATACAAACAAAAATTAGGACTGGAACCACACCACCGTAGATCCCAGTTGGCTTTTAACATGCGCGGATAACTACTGTCGGGGAGCCTGGATCAAGCTCAACATCTATCAGCAATGTCAGGCACCAGCACTGCGCCCAAGCCGCCTCAACTGACAATAAGGTGGAGTGATCAAATGGCTGCCACGGGGAAGATACGAGGAACGGGAGCACGGTAATCAACACATGCTAGAAGTTCCATGACATGTTGCTGCAAGGTATCATGCAAAGACAATAAAGTTCCGAAGACGGGTTCGAAGGGAGAACGAAAGGAGGGATCTTCCACATCACCAAGTCCAAAAAAGTCCAAAAATCCCGACTAGATTTTTGCTGCCAGGAATGGCTATAAGTTGGTCGCACACATACCCGTATCGGACAAATGTTGAACGCGAGCCATGGGTTTCGACATTTGGATCCCACAAACGATCCACTGCGCGGAGCTCGATCTCATAGGTAACATTACTACAATTGTACGGGCATCCCTGAGATTTAGGATCTAGCGTTGGCCTGACAGGCGCAGGTCCGTACCACACATTTGTTGAAAGAAAGGACACTTCGCAAGGCAACATGGTGGGGGCAAGCGATTTATTTAGTGCTACGAAACGCCAGAAGCGGCAGACCCCTGATATCAGCCGAGCTGTAGGGCAACCGTCATGAGAATATAGCTTGTCTCGATCACCTTGATCCAATGTAACGAAGATTTCCCGTATGAGTTCCATAGGCAAATCATTGATATGGGAGTTTTTGAGGTCCTCTTGGGTCTCATCCTCCGAGTGTGTTAAGACTGCTTGGTGATTGGAATCCATGAGGAGAGCGTTGCGAGACGATCACACTTCAAGCTATGGAGTCCACTGAAGCAGAGTCGGGGCGGATAGATACGAAAAATGACAAGCGCGAACTGGCGCGAGAACTGAGAAACAACGGAATTTCCCGACCCTAATTCGAAGCGTTGGATATTCTCCCTTCTGCATCGGAGGAATGTTGAGCGTGGGCCATCTGTTCTTATCGACACACACAAATCCCGCTGTCCACTGCGTAGAGTCCAATTTCACAAATAACATGATTACGATTAGACAGGTATAGAATTCATCCTGCCAAGTGCAGATCTAGTGTGGATATTTTACATTTGGCGAGAGAGAAATGAAAGATTTCGTGAGGGAAATAACTGGCTCCGTGCAAGCATAGGGGCGTTACGGGCAAAGCAAGATGCGACCCATGGGGCTTGGAGCACTTTGCCATCAAGATGTTAAGAATAAACGATCACTCTGCTCGGAAATGCCTTTGGGAGATCCTCAGTGATCATGAGCGTACTCCGAGTGTGCGGATCAGACTCTACCGTTCCGACACGGATGAAGATTTCGACCTTTAAGAGACACGGACGAGTCATAAGGAGCTCAGTGATGCACTGAGAGAGGCGTTCAATGGCCTGGGGCTCGTGTAGTAGGGAAATCGAAAGGAACATGTTCCGGAGATTGGGACAGTGGGTTTCTGAAGGCGGCTGGGCATTTGAGTGTAGTGGCTCAGAGGTCGAGGTCGACAGCAGAAACTCCAGAATTTCGATATGGCCGCCTTGCCTGATTGGGATCGACAAGCGTTCCAGCATGGAGCAATGAACAAGGCACCTCTGTTTGAAGAATTCTGAACTTTGGATCATCCCGATTTTTAAGGAGATGAGACCCCTCAGAATGCCCTTCCAATGATACCATGCCAAACCCACGCCATCGGACCAGGATAGGTCTGGATGTAGCACCTGTGATAAAAGGCATTCAAGGTGCTTGAGGCGTGGAGCCATCTTGCATGGCAACTTGCCTTGGCCGGGGATGACCAGACTTTCAAGCTGTGGCAATGAAGCGGGGAATATGTGTGATAGGTTTACACTAGGGGAATACATAACAGCGTAATCGAGAGCCTTGAGATGGTCGACGTTACGCAGGAGACCCGCTGCCGCACTATCGGTGTACACGAATAGCGACAGATGCTCGATCTCGGAATCCGACGTGAAAACGGGAAGGGTTTCATGTGAGGCGTGAAGACTGAGATAGCGAATGCGCTTCGGTAAGCGCAAGTCCACAGATTGGGACTGGGTAGACCTGGTCAACGACCCCAAGACTATCTCAACATACTCTAGCGATCGAAATTCGCTCGGGAAAGGGATCCACTCGTTCGGTAGGTTGAAATCAGAGTCCTTAAGGTAGAAGGAACCGCAACGACAAAGATGTGGCCTTGCGATCTCTTTGACACGTTGACGAAACTCCTTAGTGGACGTTTTGTCAAAGACCAGCCTAAGTGCCAAACGTACGCTCTTAGATCTCCCTAAGTATTCCGAAAACCATCGCAATTTCTCCTCCACACCCTCACTCCTGGGGCCAAGTCGGATTTTTGCCCATAGACGAGGCTCGTTGAATGCTACGAAACGCCAGAAACGGCACACACTCGAAACCAATCGAGCAGCGTGACAGCCGTCGGACTCTGAGCGGATTTTGTTCACCGCTTCACTGTGCGCGACCTCGACGAATATCTCGCGTACGATATCGATAGGGAGATCATTGACCCGGAAATATTCAAGAGGTGAGCTGACCCCGTCGGCATGGCGCTCAGGTTCCATAGGAAAAACAGAGCAATGCTGTAAGGAAAGGTAGTCTAAGTCAGGCTTCCATTTCGAGGGGGTAGGAGTTGCACCTGACAATATAGCAGATTTGGGGGAAACTACGAGCAGGGCCGTAACCTGCTGTGATGAGAGTGCCCACCGGTTCAGGTTATATGTACGAGAATCGCTGGAAGAAAGGGGCATCGACATGCATCCTGGAGCACAGGCTGGGATCTATATAATGATACGCAGGCGCAGAAGCCGAAGTCCTGCCTGCTGGACTCGCGCACGCGAGTTGATCATGGCGGATCAATTCACAGCACTAAGTCCGCACGTGACTACAAAAACGTCCTGCATGTCGAAATTGTGGTGAAACACTCTCCTTCCTATCTCACGGCCCCGATTGAGGGAACAAAGGTGCAGACTGCGAAGTCTGAGGCAAATTGGTTCATCCTGAAATGCCAATTTGCCATAATACCTTGTATTGTTGTCACCCCGACCATGTGTCCGATGTGACCGGTTTCAGCAGAAAACGAATCATTGCGGGCGGTTCATATGGAAGCTCGAATTCTGCTCACTAACATACGCCCAACGCGTCAAGGAGCCCGTTTGCGAGGTCAGCCCGACGTCCGCGTTATCGGTCCCATGGCGGCGACGACTGCGATGAGGTGTCGAACTTCGTGGTGAGATAACCTTCGTAGGGAACAAGCATATATACATCTGGCCACCAACCGACACTGCGCATCGAATTGACTCTCAAGTTCGAACAGGAAAACTCTAGACATAGGATCAAGAAGGTGCATCAGGATCTGAATCAAGTCAAACCCTGGCATCGTTGCCAAGCCCAAGGACCCTCTCTATTCGGCATGGTGATCCAAATCCGGTGTCATCTCGGTTTTGGCTGTTATTTTCGATCCTCACTGCCACAGATATCGATTCTCGGCGAAAGAGACCGATCAAGAAGTGGTAGGGTTTGGGACCAGACTACTAGTAGATGGAATCAGGGACCCCAACGGTGAGACATGGAGGGGGACGTTGGTGCGGTCTGGCCACTATAACAGCTGTAACTTCTGTTGGTAAACAAGGAGCTTCTAACCAGACGGGTGTAGATCAGAATTCACACCAACATCCCCCTTAGAAAGAATAGCTACTTGGTACGTTCAATCTGCGGCTGGGAGCATGTGGTGGTAGTTGATACTCTCGCCCAAGCGCGGTTGCGGAGGATTGCAGGCTTCAGCGCCTAGCGGGGTGGATCCGGTATTCCTCAGAGGGAATGGCGATCCTGTTGCTAGCGCTAGTGGTGTCACTTTCTACTGTACTCGCGTGTCTTATACTTAGCATGAAACTCATAGCCGTCTGTTTGTTTAGCTTTGGAGTGGGGGGCTTTTGTTCGAAAATAAGGTGGGCCTTTGTTTTTTGAGGCAGTGTGAACACAGCCAGGGACGCGGGTTTGTGGCAAAATCTCGGAACATCTCAAAGAAGATGTGCCCCGAGCCGCCATATCCAGAATAAACAACAACAACAACAACAGCCCCGAGCCGCCTTGTTTCTGACAGCCCAGTATCACTTTGTCCAAAGAAATTAAAGTTGGAGTCAAGCGATTGAGCAGCGTGTGGAAGGAGGCCCGCGAGCTTGTAGGGAACAAAACACTTGATAAGTTGTAGTCATAGGCGCCGAATTCAATCGGACATTGCCGGATGTCCATTGCCAAATTTAGAATTACCTTCAATGTTTCCTCAAAAGACGTTTGCCGGCCTCAAGTTTTTCATCTATTTGGCTGGGTTAGGTGTAAAGTGAATGCGTTCCACTTTGCGTCGTGGTGCCAGACCAGCAACGAGTCAATATATTCCAGGTGACTGTTGCCACTTGCATAGCCCCATGCGCGCGTCCAATCTAAATTAGCTTCTCGGGTACCTTATTGCACTGCTCAAGCCTTTCCGGGCCGTTTCGGCTCAAATGTTTTTACAACATCGCATTTCCGTTCACCAGTCTGGTTTACATAGACTCTAGAGCAGGTTGCGGGTGCATTTGAACCAGCGGAGAAACAACCTGTAAGTACTTGAACTTGAAGTGCGGACCCCCCCATTCAATTGCGGAGCCGATTACGGCAATTAATGAATGTTGTTCCTCGACGGGCACAGCCTCTCTGACCCAAGAATAAACCACGGAAGTAAATTTCAAGTTGACGTTCAAGAAATGGACACGGGGCTTCCATCAAGTTTCCCTTGTCTCTTTCCCCCTCTTTTAAACGCCTAAACGCCAACCCCTCGTTCGCTCTTTTTTTCCCCTGATTTTCGTCCTCCATCCTCGACCTCGAGAACATTTGCATTGGGGGGTCGAAACAATGGCTAAAATCACACTCTTTTCGACTTTGACTACAATTATTTTCCTTTTCGTCGCCAAGATACGAGCCGAATGTATCCTTTACACTCCCAACCTGGGAGTAGGCATCACAGATGGACAACCCTTCCAAGTTTACTGGCTGGGGTGTACTGTAAGTATCAACTCACCTCTCGCGGTCTCATTACTTTCCCTCCCATGATCCCGGTTCTGACTACCACCAACAGCCCCCATATGTTGTTAGCTTGTGGGACCAAGACACCAGCAACATCCTGACGACCTACAGGGGAAGCGGGACCAGCGTCTCCTTGTAAACTTTTCACTTTTTTTTTCTTTGGGCGCTTATGGTTACTGAATAAGAACTTTTTCACAACCCCCGTTGCTAGCACTGTGAATCATGGTGTTGGTGTAAATGTATACGTTACACTATCAGATGGTATTGGCGACAAGATCACTAGTGTCCCATACCTTGTCAAGGTACGTTGACATGTTGCTTCATAGTCAAGAGTCCTCCATTCAATTGCTGTTTTCCAGGCTGCCACGGGAGGTGGCGGATCAACCAGAATCTTGTCATCAAATACCGTATGTTTCCTCCCTCCTTCCCCTTCCTCCTTGAACGCACCTCCAATAATTCGATTTACTAAATTATCCATTTCCTCCCATTGTTCTCCGCCATTCCATAGCTCCTTCCATCGGTTAGTGTTGCTGCTCGTCGCATATGCTCGCCATTTGACTGATATTTGGCCCGCTTTACCATTCATCAGCCGACACAAACGTTTACAAACACATTTACCAACACCTTCACCAACACCTTTACCGACACCTTTACCGATACATTCACAGATACCTTTACCGACACCAATTGGCCTTCCTTCTCATTTCCGACAAACACTGACTGGCTGTCGTCTTACTCCTTCCCCACTGACAGCGCTTACTTGAGCTCTATCCTCAGCCACCTACATTCCCTCCCAACCAATTTTCCCACCAGCAGACCTACGGATGGTGGTTCGTCCAAGAAGAAAACGCCCATCGCTGCGATCGTTGGAGGAGCAGCGGGTGGAGTGGTTGGTTTGGCGCTTATCGCAGGGCTGATCTTCTTCATCGTCAATCAATCCAAGAAACAGCAGCGCGATAATGAAGGACTTATGGGTCAGCCTACAGGTCCAGGTGTGCTCGGTTCGCCGCAGATGTCCCAAACCCCTGGAATGTACGGCGCCACTCCTATGGATCCCAATAATTACAATCAGGGTTATCACCCTCAGGGGATAGTCCCTCCGTCCACTCCCTCTGTCCAAGGGTCATCTCCCTTACCGACGAACAATTTTAATGGAGCGTATAATCCTCAGGCCTACGCTCCAACCCAAGGAGGTTCAGACACACAAACTACCTATACTCAGCCTCAGTCATTTGCTAGCCAACCTCAGCAGCAGTACTACGGTGGCGATCCCTTCCCCAGACCTCCGCAAGTATAGTGGCCTGTGTGACCTGTTTTTTTTTTCTTTTGGTCGTCACCATTCTCTTGCCCTACGCGATGGTCTTGCCGATCGGTGGTTGATTTCTCCTAGATTCTTTTCTATTTTGTCTTCCTTCTTTGCTTGCTTGTTTACCAGTTTCTTCCCTCTTAACCTTCAAGCTGGTGTTTTTGCCTCTTAACTATTTTGTCATTCCTTTTCTGCGCGCCCGCTTCTTTGCTTGTCGCTCGTTTACAATAATCAAAGCCAACTTTATTTTATGTACCCTTCCAATGTCAAAGTCTCGACATTGTTTTCTTACGACGTCGTTTCCTCTTGGACAATGAGACTCTGTTGTGTTACATTATCCCTACATACGCTTACCTAAATCGACGAGCCTCACAAATGACGTTGAATCGGGGAGCATAAGCGAGCTGCGCAAAGGAGGAGGCGTCTGGGTGGTCTTGAACGTCTTTTTCTGCCATATTGTCTCACCCTGCAGCATATATTATGAAGTACGGATAGGAAGCGGCATGATATTCATGCAAGAAAAGAGAAATTGTTTTCATTTTCTGATGCTTATCACTAAGAACATCAAGAGGCGACCTGACTGGTCACCAGGCCAAGTCATCAACATGTTTATGGTGCCGGAGCATATATCGTTTCCAGGATCAGAACCGGTCAGTGTATCTGTCAGCTCTCCCCGCTCTACATTGCACGTACGTGTAGATCTATATCTGGCCTAGGATTGGTGGGGACCGCTACGTGAAAATGTTTCGGGGTACGTATAACAGGTGTTGGGTATGGTATATGATTGGTCCCTAGTCCTTGGGAATCTAGCAGGAGGGTCCATCCATGCGCTGTCATCGTGTCTTCCGGGACCTCTGATACAAGCAACAGAGGAACATGATAAAGCTCATCGTCTTTGGTGTCGGGCCGGTGCTCATAATGTGATTAGCGAAGCTATGGTAATTATCCTTTCGAGATAGTGCTGGAACAGGAATGAATAATGAATGAATGATGTCAAATCCTTGCAAGGCTCGAGCACGATGGCCAAGGTTGCAGGTTAGGCTACCATGATGCGGAGTGATTACACCATACGCCGTGTGAATGATGTTGGATACGTGGTATTTACTGGGGCAGGAGTTTGGTGCTTTCTCCATCCATGCGGAGTGCATCGGGATGCTGACCGAGTCCGAATTTCTGGGCTGATTGGGCCAAATCAGGGATGAATAATGTCAGACGAACGACAATCAGCTGGAGGGCTGAAACCAAATCTGAGATGCATGATGCCGATGAACGGCAACTAGTTGGCGCCAAAATTTTGACAACGTGTGCGATGGGCGGGCCAAACCAGATGCATATGTTGTTGGCTGAGTAATACATAGCACACAGAAAGTAGAAGCGCATTGTTCAATGAAACGTAGCGTATTGGCATGCCAACTGGAGTTCGTGAAAGAGCTACGGAAACAGCGGAGTGATGGTGGCAAAGACATCGGAGGGGTGGCAACTACTGGGGAAACAGTTCGATCCTTTTTTCGTTCACAAGGAGGCCCTCGGGATACCGCCCAACATTGTTGAGTGATATATCAAGATTCCAGAGCGCTCAAGTCAAATCAGGGGGGTACGAGGTCGGATGGACGGCAATTGGCTCGCGCCGGAGTTTGATACCTTCTTCGTTCGATGAGAGCGCGTCGGGATGCCGTCCAAGATTGGTGAGTGATGTTTCGAGATTCCGGAGCGCTCTCGCCAAATCAGAGGTGTATGAAGTCGGATGGACTGCAATGAGCTCGCGCCACAATTTGATGCTTTCTTCAATCGCCTGGAGGGCCTCGGAATACCGTCCGAGCTTGAGCAATGACCAATTAAGATCATGAAGCGCTCGAGCCAAATCGGGGGTGTATGAGGTAGGATGGACGGCAACTAGCTCGCGCCATAGTTGAACGCTCTCTTCGATCACCGGGAGTGACTCAGAATACCGCCCGAGATGATGGAGTGACGAGTTGAGATTCCGGAGAGCTCGAGCCAAATCAGAGCTGTATGAGGTCGGATGAATCGCCACTAGCTCGCGCCAGAGTTTGACGCTTTCCTCGATCATCGGGAGCGCCTCGTACTGTCCGAGCTCGAGCAATGTCCAGTTAAGATGGTGAAGCGCTCGAGCCAAATGCGGGGTGTATGAGGTCGGATGGACGGCAACCAGCTCGTGCCAGAGTTTGACACTTTCTTCGATCACCGGGAGCGCCTCGGAATGCCGCCCGAGATAGTTGAGTGATGCTTCAAGACTCTGGAGTGCTAGAGCCAAATCAGGGGTGTAGGAGGCTGGATGGACAGCAACTAGCTCGCGCCAAAGTGTGATGCTTTCTTCGATCACTGGGAGCGCATCGGAATGCCGTCCAAGATTGGAGAACGATATTCTAAGATTCAGGAGGGCTCGAGCCAGATCAGGGGTGTATGGGGTTGGATGGACGGCAACTAGGTCGCGCCAGAGTTTGATGCTTTCTTCGATCGCTAAGAGCGCCTCGGAATGCCGTCCAAGGTTGGTGAGTGATGCTTCAAGATTCCGGAGTGCTCGAGCCAAATCAGAGTTGAATGAGGTCGAATGGACAGCAATAAGCCCGCGCCAGAATTTGATGCTCTCTTCGATCACCGGGAGCGCTTCGGAATAGCGTCCAAGCTCAAGCAATGACCAGTTAAGATCGTGAAGTGCTCGAGCCAAATCAGGAATGTATGAGGTCGGATGGACGGCAACTAGCTCGCGCCAGAGTTTGACGCTTTCCTCGATCACCGGGAGCGCCTCAGAGTACTGTCCGAGCTCAAGCAATGACCAGTTAAGATCATGAAGTGCTCGAGCCAAATCAGGGATGTATGAGGTCGGGTGGACGGCAACTAGCTCGCGCCAAAGTTTGACACTTTCCCCGATCACCGGGAGCGCTGCGGAATGCCGTCCAAGATAGTTGAGTGATACTTCAAGACTATTGAGTCCTCGAGCCAAATCAGGGGTGTATGAGGTCGGGTGGGCAGCAACCAGCTCGCGCCAGAGTGTGATGCTTTCTTCGATCACTGGGAGCGCCTCGGAATGCCGTCCGAGATTGGTGAGTGATGTTTTAAGACTCACGAGTGATCGAGCCAAATCAGGGGTGTATGAAGTCTGATGGACGGCAACTACCTTGCGGAAGAGTTCGACACTTTCTTCATTCGCAGAGAGTGACTCGGAATGCCATCCAAGGTTGGCAAGCGATGCACCGAGATGTCCAAGTGATCGAGCCAAATAAGTAGTGTAGGAATCAGGGTCCGCGGACACAAGGCAACGACAGAGCTCAACAGAGTCATTTGCCAACTCATATGCTTCCTGCAATCTCAAAAAGAATGCAAGATTACGGCGCACATCTCCAAAAACTTTGACCAGCATCTGAATGACTTCTTTTGAAGTTTGATCTATACCCAACTGAAGGAACATGCGACTGGATAAGAATCGGTTATGAATGCAGTTGATCATCCATACCTTGGCCCACTCGGGGAATGATGATATACTAATATACCCTCCGGTCCTCACGCAGACTTCCACCCAGCGCACTATCTGCTGACCGAGGAATGCGCGAACCGACTCATTGAGCACTTCCAGTGGCTCCTGAACTTGATTGAGGTGATGCGCGATGTACCGACATGCATAATACATCTGTTCCGATAGGATCCCTTTCGGAATAGGTGGTAGCTCAGCCTCGTTCGACAAATCCCCCTCAATCAACCCCAAACCTTTCACAGAGGAAAGATCATTCTTCAGGATTTCGATACAGCATAGAGCTACTTTGGCATTCTCCCTCCTCACATCCACTGCAAAGCGGCGAAGTGTTGGTGATTGTAGACCGACCCGCTCCGTGAGAAAATCGCGGAAGGATTGATGCAGGACACGAATCGGTATGCGAGAATCCCCAACTCCCGAGACAAGCGGAGAGAGTTCTGCTAGCGTATAGCGGACGGGAGACTTCAGGTGCGGTGACAGGACGGCATCCCAAGCCACGATGGATAGCGGCTGTTGCGCGATTAGGATTGCTCCCATCACAATTGGGTAGTCGTGGACAAAATCGTCGTTCCTCCAGTCGCACTTCTCCAGAACTCTTGTATATAGCCTATCCATCTCACCCTCAGCGGGAACCTTCGATCGATTCGCACCAGTATCAAGAAGCTCCTCCAGCATCCTCATAGGAGGACGACTAGTGTTCTGCATATAGCGGAACACAGTACTGATCCAAATGAACAACCCACCTGCTCGTCTCAATATGTCTTGAACCAATTTATCTTCTTCATTGAGTTCGTCTTTCAAATGGGGATGCACATCCTTCAGCTCACGTAGCTGCATACGGATGTAGATATCGCAGTCCTGAACATTGGCATCGTCCGAGAGATTAATGCTGAGCCGATCAATGATGGAATAATTCGAGAGATAGGGGCCAAGAAGGCCAAACTGCCTCGAGGTGACAAGGAATTTGATGTTTGAGGGCAGCTTGGAAACCTGTTCCCAAAGTATTTTGGCAAGGTACTTGAATGCTTGTTCATCGCATTCATCCAAGGCATCAATAATGACCATCCCAGGGCTATCGGAAGGCGCTACCTTCAGACGGAAAGGCTCCGCCACTAATTTCTCGAATTGCATTGGGAAGGAGGCAGTTGCGAGAGTCGGGTCTTTCAGGATGGTGGATATAAGGTAGGAACGATACGTCGGGTCATGCGTTGCGAGCGATCGGGCCATGCCGCTGAACAAATGATCTGGGCGCGATTGCTCTCCAGCTTTGAAGAAGAAACTGAGCAGCAACATCCCTCCTTTGCTGCACTCCTCAGCGATCGAGTGAGCAAGAGATGTCTTGCCGGCGCCGGCCACGGCTGTCACCAGTAAGACACGCTTCTCGCTATTCCCCGTGTTACGACACCAGGACATAATGTCCTCAATCAAACCAGTCCTCGTGCCTTCCAAGCATGCCTGAGTTAAATCGTGATGGGCGACGGCAGGATATCGGAGTTTGTCCAGAACTGAGGAATTCTCGATGACACGATTTAATCGATCTTGATTATTTCCTATTGTCAAGTTCGTCCCCAGCTGCGCGGTTAGGATAATGAGATCAAAGTGGTAACGTAACCGCGAGGGTCAAGCATAATTACCTGAAATAATGCTAAGGCTTCGTCAAGATTTCGTTTCAAATCGCCAATTCTGCCGGGCTTCTTCATATGAGAGAAGAAATTGCGGATGCCTGACCGCCTTTCCATCTTTTCGCGCAGCCTACTGATTTCGGTTTGAATGCGCTGCAGAGCCCTTTGAAACACCTATGTTATTCACGGCGAGAACTAAGAGCAAATGCTACTTACTGATCTAGCTTTCTAATGTTCCCCACCCATGCTCCTTCGCTGGATGCATCATATGAGTCAAGGGCCACCACCACACGAGCCGTGGCGGAGGTGACATATCTCCCAAAAAGCTCCCAGTCCTCCTTGTTCTCCTTAAACTTCTACACATTGCAAACTTTCAACTTCCACCTCAACTCAGTGTAAATCGCTACTTACTTTGACCTCATTCAGGATACCGAGTGCGGCAGCAGCGGTAGCCTGCAAGGGAGGGAGCACCCCTGACGCAGCATTAACAGCAGTGAGAACTGGAACTGCGACGTCGCCTCCCGCCGCAATGATGCCATGAAGCTTTTGCTTCAGCGACATGGCGGATAAATGACGAAACGATGGACGCGAAACTAAGGTGACGATAATTAAGCGAACACTGTGCAGGTCACAGCCATGCGATCGCAACGAAAGACAATTTGTTCCATTATGGAAAGTCCTGCGGCAGATTCCATCCATTCTCGCAGAATCAACTGCTATCTATTCGACTGCATAGATGTATGAACACTATCTTAGAGTTTGTTATATGAGGCTTGCCAGTGGTATGAGATTTAGTAATAGGAATACAAGCGCCTTGAACCCGGGCGAAGGTTGGCCCGTGCAGTGATCAGCGAGTGCTAATGTCGCCGTGTTGGTAACAGGAGCAAACGAGAAGGCGGCGGATGGAAGGAATTGGCATTGCGGCCGAGGCGATTTTAGAATGACGTCCTGAGACCGGCGAATGAAGTTAGATGCATGTTCGCTCCGACATAGACTTCAAATGAGTCGGCTGTAAACGTGGGGCAACCAACGGCACCCGAAAGAGCGCGATCTGAGGAGAAAAGAAGCGAAATGAATCGATGGGCTCGACGCTGCTTGCCACTAATTATTCTGCGTCCGAACTGAATTCCGAGGCAGGACTCCAGCCTCTATGACTTCGCTGAATTTCGACCTTGATGCATGGACACCCACAACTCAATACCCAGATATCTGCTGTCAATGGAATATGATCTGAGGCCCAGCTACCCGGACGAATACACTCAGATCGAACCGTACGGTACTTTATTTATTCCGAAGACCCCTGCCTTGAGACACGCGCGCGCGCGCACTTCCCCCATGGCTCAATCATCCTCAGAGACTAGCTACATCGGTACACCCAGACTTCCGTAAATCCAAGAATCATTCAAATGAGCCTCGGGCTCGTTGATTTACTCAATTTTCTCCGCCTCAGGCAGCTCACATTCGCTCTACATCCTTAGCTTCTCACATTCTTTACACCTACCCGTGTTGCGCGAATAAGAAGAATATTCGTGACGACTGAGAGGCGATGGTCGTACTCGTCGATCCGGACTCACGTCGTTTGGTGCTTATATGAATAAGCATACTAACGTTGCTGAAACTGCTGCGATTTTAGGTACTAATACCTTTCTTGTATTTTAATTTTCTAGGATATGGCCCTGGGGTTTCAGCCAGCTATCAATGGGATGCAACTCAACCAGAATATCATACTATATGCGGCGAGAATACTTTTCGATATATCAGTGGCTTTCTTAGAGATGCAGGAATAAGGCAGTTGAGCCTAGTGTGCATTGAAGAGTTACAATGCCACTGTGACATGACCTTAAGGGTGGACAGGCACCTCCCACTCTTCTCCTTCCTCAAAACTGGTACCCAATCTTCGTTCGCTCTTTTTCCCGATTTCCACCTGGTTCCGGTGGAATCGACGGTTGGAATCACATTCTCTTCGACTTTAATTGCGACTCTTTACTTTCCGTGAACGAGATACACGCGCCAAGTTATCTTTTTGACCTTGGCCTGGAGATGCACCCGTTTTGTGTAACAACTATTTTTTTCTTCCAGATCACCAGCAACAAGCCCGCTTGTGGACCCAAGACGCCAACAATATCCCCACGACCTACAGGGGAATCAGAACCAGCGCTTCCTGTACGCTTGTCGCTTCTCGACGCCCTTGGCTTTCGTTACCTCTGTTTCCAGCATGATGCTGGTTAAATGTGTTTGCCACACTTTCCGATGGCGCTGGTGACAATATCACTAACATTCCTTACACTTTCAAGGCACTGAGTACATTACTTCGTGCTACTAGTCGAGAGTTTTGCATTGCTCTCAAACATTTTTGCTCTCTCTCTGGGGGTCATGGTTCAACTAATCCAGTCCTGGCAACAGATGCGATATGTATCTTCCCTCTATTGTCCTTTCCTTGCAACCAGCTCCCAGATCCGGATATTTGATTTATTAAATCACCCGTCTCCCCTCATGGCTTCGGTCTGGATGTCCATTATCCCGGAGCTCCTTCCAATGGTTAATGATGCTCTCCACGTAGGCCCACTGTTTGACGGGGATTTGGCCCGCTTCATTAGCCGAAAGATACTGAAACGTTTATAGACACCTTGACCGACACATTCACGGATACCTTTGCCAAAGCCTTTACCGGCCTTCCGACAGGTACTAAATGGCGGTCTTCCTACGCAAACACCAACTGGCTGTTTTCTTATGAGTCGTTCCCGTTACTCAACTCATCAGCGGCCTAGGCACACTTCGTCCTTTCCCCACCAGTCGACTTACGAACACCTGGTTGTCCAATGAGGAAAAAAATTATTCATCGCTGCCATCGTTGGGGTGGCGCGGTTGGCCTACCCTCATTGACGGACTCACCTTCTTCATCGTCAACCATTTGAAGCAACAGCAACGCGATAACGAGGGACTTATGGGTCAGCCTACAGGTCCAGGAGTACTGGGGTCGTCGCAGATGTCCCAAACGCCTAGGATGTAGGGTGCCGATCCCAATAATATAGTAGGGCTAGGGGGGTGCTGTGAGGCGTCTGGGGTGAACCCCGGTGAAAGCGGTCTTGGATAAGGCTAAATCAAATGCATATGATGTTAGTTGAGCAATACATAGCACATAAAAAATAAATGCGAATCCTTCAGTGAAACGTAGGACATTGGGAAGATGACGAGAGTTTGAGGAAGAGCTATTGAAACTGCAAAGTGATGTGCTGTGGATGATATCGGGTGGCGGCGGTTACGAGAAGGGCTTCGGAATGGCGCCCGAGTTTATCGAGTGATAGTTTAAAACACCAGAGCTCGGGGTGTATGAGGTCGGACGGTCGGCAACTAGTTCACACCACTTTCTTTAATTTCCAGGGGCGCCTCCGAATCCCGTCCAAGATTGGCGAGTGATTGAGCAAGATCCCGGAGCACTCCAGCCAATTAAGGGTGTATGAGGTTGAATGGATGGCAACTAGCTCATGCCAAAGCTTTACACATTCTTGAATTACCAGGAGCACCCATCCGAGATTTGAAAGTGATAGTGTAAGATCCCCGAGTGCTCCAGCCAAACAAGGCATGTATGAGGTTGGATGGACAACAACTAGCTCACGCCAGAGCTTGACACTTTCTTCGATCTGCCTCCGGATGTCGTCCCTGATTGAAGGATTGAAGAGTGATGTAAAAGGATGCCAGAGGTCCCGAGCCAATTTAGGTATGTGAGGTTGGATGGACAGTAACCAGCCCATGCTAGAGTTTGACACTTTCTTCGTTCACCGAAAGTGCCTCAGAATGCTTTCCAAGGCTGGTGAGTGAGATGTCAAGATCCCCTAGCGCTCGAGCCAAATCAGGGGTGTATGAGGTTGGATGGATGGCAACTAGTTCATGCCAGAGTTTGACACTTTCTTCGATTGCCGGGAGTGACTCAGAATACCGTCCGAGATTGACGAGTGATGAGTTGAGATTCCGGAGCGCTCGAGCCAAATCAGCGCTGTATGAGGTCGGGTGGATGACAACTAGCTCGCGCCAGAGTTTCACGCATTCTTCGATCACCGGGAGCGCCTCGGAATACTGTCTGAGCTCAAGCAATGACCAGTTAAGATCGTGAAGCGCTCGAGCCAAATCCGGGGTGTAAGAGGTCGGATGGAGGGCAACTAGCTCGCACCAGAGTTTGACACTTTCTTGGATCACCAGGAGCGCTTCGGAATGCCGCCCAAGATCGTTGAGTACAACCTGAAGGCTCTTGAGCGCTCGAGCCAAGAAGGGAGTATATGAGGTTGGGTGGATGGTAACTAGCTCGCGCCAGAGTGTGATGCTTTCTTCGATCACTGGGAGCGCCTCCGAATGCCGTCCAAGGTTGGAGAGTGATATGTTAAGATTCATGAGCGCTCGAGCCAAATCAGGGGTGTATGAGGTTGGATGGACGGCAACTAGCTCACGCCAAAGTTTGACGCTTTTTTCACTCACTGAGAGTGCCTCGGAATGCCGTCCAAGGTTGATAAGTGATGCTTCAAGATTTCGGTGCGCTCGAGCTAAATCAGAGGTGTATGAGGTCGGATGGATAGCAATGAGCTCCTGCCACAATTTGATGCTTTCTTCAATAACTAGGAGCGCCTCGGAATATCGTCCGAGCTCGAGCAATGACCAGTTAAGATCATGAAGTGCTCCAGCCAAATAAGGGGTGTATGAGGTTGGATGGATGGCAACTAGCTCACGCCAGAGTTTGACGCTTTCTTCGATCACCGGGAGTGCTACGGAATGCTGTCCGAGATAGTTCAGCGATACTTCAAGACTATTGAGCGCCCCAGCCAAATCAGGGGTGTATGAGGTTGGGTGGGCAGCAACCAGCTCGCGCCAGAGTGTGATACTTTCTTCGATCACTGGGAGCGCCTCGGAATGCCGTCCGAGATCGGAGAGCGATATTTTAAGACTCACGAGCGCTCGAGCCAAATCGGGGGTAAATGAAGTCGGATCGACGGTAACTACCTTGCGGAAGAGTTCGACACTTTCTTCATTCGCAGAGAGTGACTCGGAATGCCGTCCAAGGTTGGCAAGTGATGCACCGAGATGTCCAAGTGATCGAGCCAAATCAGTAGTGTAGGAATCAGGGTCCGCGGACACAAGGCAACGACAGAGCCCAACAGAGTCATTTGCCAACTCATATGCTTCCTGCAATCTCAAAAAGAATGCAAGATTACGGAACACATTGCCAAATACTTTGACCAACATTTGAATGACTCCCTTTGAAGTTTGATCTACACCCAACTGGAACATGCGACTGGGTAAGAATGGGTTATGAATGCTGCTGATAATCCACACCTTGGCCCACTTGGGGAATGATGATATACTAATATACCCTCCGGTCCTCACGCAGACTTCCACCCAGCGCACTATTTGCTGACCAAGAAATGCGCGAACCGACCCATTGAGCACTTCCAGTGGCTTCTGGACTTGTTTGAGGTGATACACGATATACCGACATGCATAATGCAGCTGTTCCGACAGCGTCCCTTCTGCAGTAGGTGGCAGCTCGGCCTTTTCCGACAAACCCTCCTCAATCAACCCCAAACCTTCCACAGAGGAAAGATCCTTATTCATGATATCGATACAGCACAGAGCCACTTTTGCATTCTCCCTCCTCACATCCACTGCAAACCGATGAAGGGTTGGTGATTGTGGTCCGACTCGCTCTGTGAGAAAATCGCGGAAGGATTGATGTAACACACGAATCGGTATGTGAGAATCCCCAACTCCCGAGACGAGCGGAGAAAGGTCTTCTAACGTATAGTGGACAGGAGACTTCAGGTGTGGTGACAGGATCGCATCCCAAGCCGCTACGGATAATGGCTGTTGCACGATTAGGATCGCTCCCATCACAATCGGATAGTCATGCACAAAATCATCGTTCCCCCAATCGCACTTCTCCAAAACTCTCGCATACAGCCTATCCATCTCACCCTCAGCGGGAGCCTTCAATCGGTTCGCACCAGTATCAAGAAGCTCCTGCAGCATCCTCATAGGAGGACGACGGGTGTTCTGCATATAGCGGAACACAGTACTGATCCAAATGAACAACCCACCCGCTCGTCCCAATATGTCTTGGACCAATGTATCCTCATCATTAAGTTCGTCTTTCAAATGGGGATGCACATCCTTCAGCTCAGGTAGCTGGTTACGGATGTAGATATCGCAGTCTCGAACGTTGGTATCATCCGAGAGATCAATGCTGAGATGATCAATGACGGAATGGTTCGAGAGATAAGGACCAAGAAGGCCAAATTGCCTTGAGGTGACAAAGAATTTAATGCTTGGGGGCAACTTGGGAACCTGTTCCCGAAGTATTTTGGCAAGGTATTTGAAAGCTTGTTCCTCACATTCATCCAAGGCATCAATAATGACCGTCCCAGGGCCATCGGAAGGCAATGCCTTCAGGCGGAAAGGCTCCACCACTAATTTCTCGAATTGCATTGGGAAAGAGGCAGTAGCGAGAGTCGGGTCCTCCTGGATGGAGATGAGGTAGAAACGATACGCTGGGTTGTGTGTTGCGAGCGATCGGGCTATTCCGCTGAACAAATGGTCCGGGCGCGATTGCTCCCCGGCTTTGAAGAAGAAACTGAGCAGCAACATCCCTTCTTTGCTGCATTCCTCTGCGATCGAGTGAGCAAGAGATGTCTTGCCGGCGCCAGCCACCGCTGTCATCAGTAGGACGCGCTTCTCACTATTCTCTGTGTTACGATACCAGGCCATAATGTGCTCAATCAAGCCAGTCCTGGTGCCTTCCAAACATGCCTGGGTTGAATCGTGATGGGCGACGGCAGGATATTGGAGCTTATCCAGAACAGAAGAATTCTCGATTGCACGATTTAACCGGTCTTGATAGTTTCCTATTGTCAGGTTCGTCCCCAGCTGCGCGATTGCGATAATGAGTCCAGAGTCGCAATATAACCATAAGGATCAAGCGTAATTACCTGGAATGATGTCAAGGCCTCGTCAAGATCCCTCTTCAAATCGTCAATCCTGCCAAGATTCTTCACATGAGAGAGGAAATTGTGGATGCCGGACCGCCTTTCCATCTTTCCACGCAGCCTACCGATTTCAGTTTGAATGCGCTCCAACGCCCTTTAAAACACATGTTACACGACGACGAGGACCTAGAACAAATACTACTTACTGGTCAAGTTTTGTGATGTTCCCCATCCACGCTCCTTTACTAGACGCATCATATGAGTCGAGGGCCGCCACCACACGGGCCATTGCGTCTACAACATATCTACCGAAACGCTCCCATTCCTCCTTACTCTCTTTGAATTTCTACACATTCCAGACTGTCAACTTTCGTCCCAAACTCGGCGTAAATCGCTACGAACTTTGACCTCATCGAGGATAAGGAGTGCTGCCCCGGTGGCAGCCTGTAAGGGAGGGAGCACACCTGACGCAGAATTGACCGCGGTGAGAACTGGAACAGCCACGTCACCTCCCTGAACAAGGAGATCATGAATCTTTTGCTTTAGCGACATGGTAGCGGGAAAATCGATGGATGGGGAGAGAGATCGGACGCGCGGCTGAGGTGGTGAGGATCAAAGCAAACGCTCTCTAATTCATAGCGATGCGATCGCAGGCAACTCATGCCCTTGCCCACTTATGGAAAGCCCTGCGGCAGATTCCATGCATCCCCCCCCGAATCAGCTTGTCGTTCGCAGCTGGCTATTCCTTTAAATTACTCCTATCATAGGGTTCGCTATGTAAGGCTTGGTATAAAGTTTTGGTAACAGGATTACACGCACCTTGAACCCGCGAAGTTTGGGTGTGCGTACACTGATCTGTCGCCGTGCCAGTGACAGGAGGAAAACACAAAGGCAGTGGATGGCAGAATTCGGCATTGCAGCTGCGACTAACCACTTGGTCATATCGCTATGATCCAAACGAAGTAGCCGAGATAGTCTAAGAACAGTGCCCCGAATGAATTTAAATGCGCGTCCTTTGGCCAGGCTCCGGTATGACTTGAAGTCGGCTGCAAGTATGTGTTTACGATTGTTTTGCGTTTGTCGAACCTCATCAGATTTTTAGGACACCTCAATCGTTCGCGTCAGAGGCTACATACGTGCACACCTGGACTTCAGAAATCCAAGAATCGTCCCTCATTATTCAAATCCCCTCCTTCGCCCGACCACAATTGCTTCAGGCAGGCCTCTTCCACATCTCCCAGCTTCCCAACTGCTTTTTACATCCAGTACTTGTATTGTGCGAATGAGGACAATATCTGTGACAGCGGAAAGGAGGTGACGACCGCACTCGGCTCCTCAGTGGCTAGTGCTTATTGGGTGATTGTGCCTTGCCTGTATTCTCTAGGATATAGCTATGGAGTCTCAACCAGGTTCCGCACAGGCTCAGGTCAGTCAATCAGAGTATACTGCCCCCATATATTCCGGCCGTCTAGGTGTATATATCAACTCATGTCTATAATCTCCTCAATGAATGGGCATCGCCCCTTTCCCTGCATCCAGCTTCCAGTTCACGCCGACCAGTCCTCGATTATCCGATTACTTGTCCTACCTGCTTAGATGATGCCAGGCATGGCCCACAGTATCACCACGCTATGCGTCGATGGGTACCGTGACTCCCAGTTGCACGGAGGTCGAATATTCGCATATGGGCTTACTCCTATACAGGCTGCAAAATTGAACGTTTGAATGTCACTGATCAACACCCACTCGTTCTTAGATCTGTACTCATCGGTCCGTTCGGTAACTGGCGCTTTACCAGTAAAGCTATCAATATCAGCGCAGCCTCCTACACATCCTATGGGCGGCCGGAGATTTCTGAACGTGCTAATAAAAATATCTTCATGGCAGCTTGTGCATGCATTACTTTGTCTGGAGTTTTGAAAAGTGCAACATTAAACATGCTAGCTACTGGTTAGGTTCCGCAAGACTTGAGCTGAGGAATGCACTGGCTGGATGCCTTGTACGGTCTATAGATTTGATGTTCAGCTTTCTGTTGGATTCGCTTGCTTTGGGGGATCGCAATCCGTGAGCTCCCTTTGAGTCCACATTTCATGCCGCTGCCAATCTCGCTAGCCGTGCTATTTCTTCAGCGCTAATACGTACAGTAGAGAAGTGCCTTCAATTGGAGGAACGATAGCTTCGCTGAAGCCATTGTCTTCACAAGCTCTCAATCGAACTTACCACACTCGGCTTCGAACGGAGGTTGTTCTCTCCGTTCACAAGGCTGTACGATCGCTAAGATTCATGGCAGAACCGGCAAACAGTTGGAGGGAAAGATGAGGTTTGTGCGGAGTGGTTCTGCAGCAGACAATTTATGGCTTGTTTCCCGTGGTTGGCTTCGGCTATTCTTCTGGATAAGGTTCTTAAGTTGTAGCCAAACGAGTATCTCACTACTAAATGATTGACTTTGGCAGTTCCGAGCCCGCGTAGCTCGGAATTCCCCCGTTTTCGGATGGTGTCTCCCAACAGGAAACCTTCTGTGTCTTTGAACAGTCTCTTGCTCATGAGTTTAGGGTCAGCATCGGCGGGCATCTCAACCTTTCGCCACAGCCTTAAGTCTCTCTCTCTGCCGCAACTCAACGCGGAACACAAAGATCGCCATCGTTCCGCCCCGTTCACATGCTGGTTTTTTCGCCTTGTTATGAAGAGCTGGTCCTGTTATCATTGTAATTCCGACTTTTCTTTGCCTCGGTTTATTGTGGATATACGGAGTGGACATTGCGGGCTCGGGTGACGCCAAATCATGCCCAGAGTGTTGGTGTGGCAGGTGTTCCGAAATTGGTGGGACTACTTGATCTACTAGCAAGCTCCAATTGCAATTCTATTGGCAAGAATATCTCCGAAACTCGGCCATCTGTGGTGTCTGTCATGTTACACTGCGTAGAATATTATTTCTTCTGTCACGCACTACCTGATACTTCTTTGCCACGAGTGGATCAGAGCTTCACAACCCATCTGATCTCCCCGCAGCATCCAAGTAGTTCTTTGTTGGTCTGCCGGCGGAATCCTTTTTCTGTAGAACGGTCAGGATATGAAATGAAGGAAGTCTGGCCCCGTGGGTCTGGTGGAAAGTGGGAGGCTGCTATGAATAGTTTCGAGGTTTCGAGATACAAAGTTCGCGTAGGAGCGCATGCATGCGCCGGCTTCTCATGGTCTTCCGAGTAGGGCTCCTAACAATTCGGTTTTGGTTAGAAACCGAGCCGTCACTGACAAAATTACCGGTTCCATTTGAAGCATTTTATTGCATGTGCCTTCATTCTGTGGTATTCAAACTGTTGCAAACCATGGTTTGCAGTACAACTTTGAGTTGGAGCACAAGGCAATCATTAGGCTCGGTTTCTAACCGAAACCGAACTGTTAGGAGCCCTACTTCCGAAGCAATCCAATGGCGCGAGCGATGCAGTCGGGATTTGTGGATAAACGAACGTCGGTTGAAGTGGCAAGCACTCGGCAGACTGACAAAGGTTCCTTGACTCAAACTCTGCATGTCGGAGTCGAATGAATGGGAATCCAATTACCGAACCGACCACAGCACACCCCGGAATGCCGATCTGAATATGTTCCTCGGGACCAATTCACATCCATCGTGATGACGTGGCAGTGCGGCTATCCCGTCATCACACACTTACTTGAGGGAGTTCCGTCAAACGTTCGTGTGTCATGCGCGCTAGCTTCGCATCTGAACAAGGGACAGACCAATGGTGACGCCAGACGCATCCAAGAAACCATGCGAAGAGTCGCAGAATAGCGAATCCAATCAATCGCGATCTTCAGAAGTTCGCTAGATGGGGTTCGTTTCTCGATGGGCATTGAGGTTGAACTAGACACTAAGCAGTGCTGAGCGGAGCGAGCATCACACCTTGCCGAGTCATAGCATTAGACCTATCAGGGTCCTGGAACTTGCCCATGGTCGGGCCAAGACCTCTCCCTCTGTCCTTGGCTGCACGGCAAAAGAGTTGGCCGAATGTATTGTGTGAATTGCATGTACTTCACTGCCTTGCCCTCCGTCCAATTAGTTCCCTTCTGACCTTGCGTGCGTTTATCAAGTCTCAGGTGCGTTGCCTCACCTTATTGGTTTGTACCTAACCCCTTTATCCCCACTGTCCACAGTGTCCAGGACCAGTGTCCGTTTTAGAGTGGCCACATCCCCTTTCCCTCTCATTACCTGACTGAAATGTTTCTGCTTTGGGTTGCCTTTCTTTAGCCCACTCGACGGCGGCGAGAATTGGTGAGCCTGAGAACCTAGGGGTTCATCCACCATCTGTTATTTCTGCTTGGATTTATATTTCTATCCTTTCTCGCATTTCACGCGTTCGTCCCAATCTTGGGATTTCGCCTTGGAGGAGTCTAGCGGGAATGGCTACTTAGACCATCCCAAGGCGGAGTTCGCCGAACCTGCCTATCCCCTTTTTTGCCGTCGTGCTCGCGCTAATCTGAACTAGTAAGTCTTGCATAAGGCGGGCACTGTGGGTATGCCATTAGACTCCGCTTTGTCTACACAGTAGACTGCGGCAACGTTACGCGACTTGCCTTAGCTTCTCGGGTTCTTCCGCTTTTTCGCGGCCCCTTCCGACCTTGCATTGATGCTGCGTTCTGCTGCGATCTCGATAGCCTTCACCGACCGTTCCTCAATGTCTACAACTTCCGTAAATGTGGGTCGAACTTGGGGAACCCATTAATAAGCCACATGGAGGCAAGGAGAACTCCCATGTTGCGGCTCAATAACAGGAAGGTGATTTTCGCATTGTTGAAGATAGGAAAGGGGTATACTTAGGTGTGCCTTATTCTGTTCACCGTGGCCCTGGCACCCTTGGCAACCAAACTGGCCGTGTGGTAACTGGTGGGGATAGCGGTCTCCGCCATTCGCTTAAGGTCTCGGCTGGGCATGATGGATGCCCATTAAGCGCTTAATAGTGCTTCTCATCTTCCTTATGGAATTGGGCGTTGTAATTTGATATGGGTATTTACACGCGCAGTGGAGTTGATCGAACCATCAGAATCTCGGGTGCTTCGTGTTTCGTGGTATGGCTTGAGTTGACCTACCCAATTTCGGAGCGAACGAGGGCCAACCACGTATGTGTCCTATGAGGGACTAGAACCAGGCGCAAAGCTGGCCTACGATATTGTGGATTTTACAGTGAAGAAACACCATTTGTGCTGATAAATATCTCCCATTATTGCAGTAGCAGCAACGTCATGAGCGAATGTAGTCCCCACACCAGCTTACGCTAGTGCTGGGATGACTTGTATCCCAGGAGCTACTCAACGTCAATAGTATCTCTGACCCCCCTGATTTCAGTCGACATCTTCCCCTTGTGGCTAAGTGAGAGAACATTAGAAAGACGGCATGCACTCCTGTCGCCAAGGGTCCCTTCACCACTATTCAGATGTCCCCGTTACTCCGGCACCAAGATCCAGTGCAATGAGCCTTTTACCAGAGACGTAGGCGCCATGTGTTGACCCGCCTGTGAACCTCTTTTCATATCCTTTAGTACTTGCCAATGTTCCGGGCACAAGCTGCTTCCGCCGGACATGGTGTCCCCCGCGTTTACGAGTGGGCGCATATAAGAGGCAACACTATGGATTTATATCGCTTCTGGCAATGTTGTCCTCACACTGCATGCATCGCGCTGATCGATGCAAATCTCAGCCTTTTGCTTGCGTCGCGGCTGTGTTCATGGAAGGCGGAAGAGTCACAAAACATTACTGCGGCTGTCACGACCAGGCACCGAAGGGAGCTTTGCTTGCTAGTCTATTTCAATAGAGGTTGATTACCCGCCTAGCGGATACCTTGCTCGTGTACCGGTACAAATGGCAAATGATCCTCTCCATCTTGGCTGTTCATTATGCATCTGACGTCGTGCCAAACCACTCCAATGCAACCAACACATGTTTCCGCTCAGTGCGCAGCATCCAGCCTTCGCTCAGTTCCTTTATCTGATGTCTTGTGATACAGACTCGGCTATGGATGAATGGCAATGGTCTTTTTTTAATTATAGGGTCAAGGTACGCGGTTATAACTCCCGATCAAACCTCGACTAGATAACAGAAAACGGACTTTCTAATATATTCCATTTTTCGCACGTTTGTAATGCTGAGGCCACTTACTTCGTATGTGAGAACCCAGGGCACGTCCTCGGCCTTGGCGCTTGGACTGTACGCGAGTCCTGTATGTGGAGATGATAGACATTTGAGCTTTGCATATAAGGAGTCGTGTCGGAGTTAGGCACTTCATCATCACCTTGCCGTCTGCTGCTCTCCGCTTCCCTCTTCTCCCACCAACCTTGCTCCTTCAGCATGACTTCTGCGAGCGAAGTGAGGCGCATCCTGGCGCTTTACGACGCTACCGAGAAGCGCAACATTTCCACCTATATTCTCGGCATTATGCTGTACAAGTTTGGTCTCGAGCAGTTCAACGGTTCAGTCGTGACGATGGCTACCGATCGCTTCAAAGCTGATCATACCTTTGGCAAATTGGCCGTCTTGACCGGTCTGAACTATGCCATGCAATGTGTTGGCGCCATCCTCATTGCCCCCCTTGTTAAGAAAGCGCCCACACGTACGGTGCTCTCTGCCGCGATCTTCATATTCTCCATCATGTCCGCTGTCCTCCTCGTTGTCGATGCTGCCACCGGTGGTAAGATCAAAGCCAACAACAACGACCAAGTCGAGTACGGTAGTTGGAATCCCAACGGTCTCTTCCCTATCTATATCATCTCGGGTATCGCCTACGGCATGGTTGAACTCATTCGCCGGGTTATCCCCAGAGACATTGTGGGTGCAAACCCGGAGAAGTTGAGGAGGATGGACGCTTTGGTGCACATCATGTATGAATTGTCTGGTACAGGAGGCGCCTTTGCCAGCACGCAACTTATTGCCAAGCTGGGCAACAACTAGTGAGTTACGACTAGGACTAGGGAGGGTGAAGTCGAAAACTGACATGAGTATCATTTGAGCTCCTTCATCATCACACCTCCTCTCTTTGCGCTGGCGGCCATCGTTTGGTACCAAATCTCTGCCCTCTCCTTCGGGGTTAGGGACTTTCAAGCAGGCGGCCCCGTTGTAATCGGGCGCGAGCAACGTAACCCCTTCATCGGCTACACTCTCGCTGTCATCGAAGGTTTCCGACTCTTCATCCTTTCGATCATCAAGGGGGCCCAACTGGTCCTCTTACATCGTAAATATGTATGGTTATTCTTTTCGTACAGTGTAGCGCTTCATTGCCACCGCTATCTTGAAAACGCCATCGCCCCCATTTACGCCCGTCGTACCCTCAACAATTCGAGCCTTTCTCAAGCCCTCGTGGCGTTTTCCAACTTGGGTGAATTGTTCGGTGCCCTTTTCGTCTTTATTTTTGCCAGCAATGTCAAGACCCCAATTCCCTGGCTTCGCCTGGACGCTTTACTCCTGATGATCATTTGGGTCGTTCCGTTCTTCAAGCGTGAGCAACACGGGACTATCATCGCATACCAACTGGGTGCCTGTTTCATCCCTATCTCATTCGGGTGGGCCACTGGTGACGTTTCATTAGCCGCATATATCCAGTCATCTCTCACCCACTCGGACGACGAGGACGACTCCCAGGTTTCTTCCCTCGGGAGTATCATGGCTTTCCTCTACTCGGCATACATCATTATTTACGCTGTCATCTCGAAAGTCCTCGGAGACTACGTTGACCGAGTCATCGTCCGCAAGGGCAGCGTGTACGACGCCCTCATTCACGTCGGCGGCATCCACTTCAGTGTGTTAGCATTCATCATCTTGGTCTCCACTTTTGTTCCCAAGGGCGCCTTCGCTTTCAACCCCGAGATCATTCACATGAATGAGAGGCCTGGCGTATCCGACCGGTACAACGTTGAAGCCCGCAAGGCACAACCCAGTGATGATGAAGGGAGTGAAGAGAAGCTCGCACCCTAAGATATGCTAGCTTGGATAACACAGGTGTTCTCGCGCCTACCCTTCTTAATACCGCGAACGAAAAGGCTCAATAAAGGCCCTATGCTAGTTAACATATCTCATCTCCCGCTTAGCCCTTTTCGCTCCTTGCTTCGCGTTTCTCTCTCTCTCGGGTTACACCTCGTGTTTACATTGATGGGACGACGGTTTGTTGACACCCTCGTATTCGATGCCGCGATTCCTGTATGATAACAATGGGTTCTTCTGACGCATTTGTATCGCCCCTGAGATCCCTTTGTGCATATCCTTACGTTTCTTTTGTCAACGGGTTGTTGTTGGGTTACTTGCGGTGGTAGGGATATGATGAAATGAAGTGAAGTTTGGCCCCGTGGGTTTATTCGGGCTGGTGGAAGGTCGCTGTGAATATTTTCGAGATATATGTGATGCGCCATGCAGAGACTCAGGTGGGTTGATGTCCATGGTCATCACAAAGTTTGGGTCGCATGCGATGCAGTCAAGACTCGTGGGTGTTAGGCTCGAACTAATAAAGTCCACGATTCCAAGGATAACTCGAGTGCACATGATGTTGATTGAAGCGACACCACAATTAATTAAAGGTGCAACTCGGCAGAATGACAAGGTAGGCACGAATGAATAGTAACTCAATTACTGAATTGATTACGGGACTTCCTCGGGACCATTTACTTCGAGGCATCTCCGGTTCAATTGGAACCCAAACCCGTTTGCTCTTTTTCTCCGATTTTGACCCTCCCTATTCGATCCCGAGAACATTTCCTGATCCCCCGAGGTTGAAACGAAGGTTAGAAAATCACATTCTTCCCCACCCTCATTATGGCTATCTGCGAACGAGATACACGCGTGATGCAACATTTGCACTCATAGTAGTACTACTATCTGCATCCATTCTGGCTTGGAGCTGTGTCCATTTCGTGGATCAACTATCTTTTTTCTTTTGCGTCCCACGATCTTGGTCCTGACCGCTGGCACCAACAGGCTCCATGTTTTACCAGCTTTGTGGAGCAAAGATGCCAACAATGTCCCTAATGAGGAAGTGAGACTAGCGTTCCTTGTACGCTTCTCGCTTTCGATGCCCACAGCCACTGAATATAATGTTTCCCGTTGCTTGCATGATTCATAATGGTGATGATGTCAATATGTGTATCTCGCGCTTGCGGATGGCATCGATGACGAGATCACTAGCATTGCCTGGACCGTCAAGGTATGTTGACATGCCGCTTCACTGTTCTTGAGCCCTTCATTGAATTTGCCAGTCTGGAGGCGGTTGTTCACCAAGTTCAGTCTTCCTAACAAATACGGTATATATCTTCCCTTCTGACGGTTAGTGATGCTGTTCGTCGCACAAACCCACAGTTTGACTGAGATTTGGCCCGCTTCATTAGCCAACAGACACATCTACGGACATATTCACCGACACCCTTTCCGGTATGGATTTGGTTGTTTTCTTACTTGTTCTCGACTGATACCAGTTACTCCTCTGTGGACAAGTACCACTCATTCTCCACCAATCCACCAACCAGTTGAACTACAAACACCGGGTTGTCCGACCGCCGCGATCATTGGGGGAGGAGTGGCTGGCCTGGCCCTCATCGTTGGATTCATGAAATAACAGCAGCCTGGGATTACGGCGCCTCTCCGATGGATGCCAACAATTTCAATCAAAGATGTAGCCCTCAGGATAGTCCCTCCGCCTCCGGGCGTATAATCCTCACGCTCATGCGATGCGATGCCCCATCAATGAGTGATTTCTATCTCTTGTCACTCGTCCATAATGGTAAAAGCATTTTTATTCTATGCATCCTTCCGATGTCAACGTTAACGTCTTGGCATCGTCTTTCTCCTTTCTCGTTTTCTTGGTCAAAAATGGCTCTGCTGTCACTACATACTCTTTGAACCATTGGTGGCAGTGGTTGGTTGGTTGGTTGTGTGGGCGTGGTACGTGCTCAGCTTAGACTTGAGGAGCCACGAAGGTGGATGAATGCCAAGTGGATGTGAAGGAAATAGAGTCCTATTTCTATTGAGGGCTAGTGTCTCTGCACGTAAATAGACTAGCTACATAAGTAGGGGACATGGCAAAGAGTCGTAGGAGGCGTCGGGGCAGGCTCCCAAAGCAAAGCAGTCTTGAATCACTTTTCACTTCTCGCCACGAATTCCAGGCTGTGGTTGATAGGCCAATATGTCAAGGCAGAACAATGTCGTTCCTTTTCGTGCAGTAGAATTAGAACTCGTCAACGGTTCCGTCGGCTCCCCCTGCTCCGCGCATAGCGGCGGACGATCACTCTGGTTCTAGGCGAGAAGAGGGACAGGGGACATTGCACCCTGAGTGAAGTTAAACGTCGATCTTGTGGATTCAATTTTGAGGTAAGATGGTGTGGGGGGAGGGGGGGGGGGAATTGCTGTGTGAAAAGGTTTCGTGGTATAGATAACATGTTGGGTCCCTTGGTGGTCTTCACGAATTTGGCAGGAGGGGTCCGTATACGCGCTGGCTCGTCGTATCTTCCGATACCTCTAATGCGCAAGCAATGCAGGAATATGACAGCCGAAGCCCATAGACGCAAGCATCAGAGCACTCATAATAAAACTAGCGATGATATGGTAACTATCCTTCTACATAGCGCTGGGATGAGCAACGAATGACGGGCGCCAAAGAGAAACGGGTTGTTCGATGGAAGGTTGGACTCTAGGATGATGATCAATGCCGTACAATGAGCTACCGTGACCGCAGATTGATCACGCCATCCCGGGCAGGAGCTTGGTTTCACAGAGTGCATCGAGATGCCGGTCGAGTTGGAGTGTTAGGGGCCGAATCGGGATGTGGAATGTCAGGTAAACGGCAGCCAAACACTCGCATCACCAGGGGCGCCTCGGAATTTTGTCCCAGATTGGAAAGTGATATCTCAAGACTCTGAGCCGAATTTGGAATGTATGGTGTTGGCGGGCAGGCGCTAGAGCTTGTTCATTCAGGGGGAATATGACAGAGTTTGCAATGTGAAAGCAAAATCAGATGCAGTTAGGTGATATGTGGTAGATGGAAATAGAAGCGAACTCCTCCAATGAAATGTAGAAAGAGCAACTATGGCAAATGCGGCATGGGTGGTATCGAATGAACGGCAACTACTCATGCCAAAATTTGTGTCTTTCCTCATTTACAAGGAGGGCTTCAGAATGCTGTCCGAGATGGTCGAGGGATGTTTCAAGATTGCCAAGCGCTGCAGTCAAATCAGAGGCATATGAGGCCGGATGGACAGCAACGAGCTCGCGCCATAATTTGGTGCTTTCTTCAATCGCCGGGAGTGCCTCAGAATACCGTCCGAGATCGAGAAATGACCAGTTAAGATCGTGAAGCGCTCGAGCCAAATTAGGGGTGTGTGAGGTTGGATGGACTGTGACTAGCTCACGCCAGAGTTTGACGCTTTCTTTGATCACAGGAAGCGCCTCGGAGTACTGTCCGAGTTCGAGCAATACCCAGTTAAAATCGCGAAGTGCTCGAGCCAAATCAGGGGTGTATGAGGTTGGATGGACGGCAACTAGCTCACGCCAGAGTCTGATACCTTCTTCAATCACCGGGAGCGCCTCAGAATGCCGCCCGAGATAGCTCATTGATACTCCAAGACTCAGGAGCGCTTGAGCTAAATCAGGGGTGTATGAGGTCGGATGGACAGCAACTAGTTTTCGCCAGAGTTTGGTGCTTTCTTCGCTCGCTGAGAACGCCTCGGAATACCTTCCAAGGTTGATGAGTGATGTTTCAAGATTCTGGAGGGCTCGAGCCAAATAGGAGGTATACGAGGCCGGATGGACAGCAATGAGCTCGCGCCACAATTTGATGCTTTCTTCGATCGACAGGAGTGCCTCAGAAAACCGTCCAAGCTCGAGCAATGACCAGTTAAGACCGTGAAGCACTCGAGCCAAATAAGGGGTGTATGAGGTCGGATGGACGGCAACTAGCTCACGCCAGAGTCTGACACTCTCTTCGATCACTGGGAGTGCCTCGGAATGCCGTCCGAGATAGTTGAGTGATACTTGAAGACGCAGGAGCGCTTGAGCTAAATCAGGGGTGTATGAGGTCGGATGGACCGCAACTAGTTCACGCCAGAGTTTGATGCTTTCTTCGATCGCTGAGAGCGCCTCAGAATGCCGTCCAAGGTAAGTGAATGATGGTTCAAGATGCCGGAGCGCCCGAGCCAAATCAGGGGTGTATGAGGTCGGATGGATGGCAACTAGCTTGCGCCAGAGTGTGATGCTCTCTTCGATCACTGACAGTGCCTCGGAATGTCGTTCGAGATTGGAGAGCGATCTTCTAAGACTCACGAGCGCTCGAGCCAAATTAGGGGTGTATGAAGTCGGATGGACGGCAACTGCCTTGCGGAAGAGTTCGACACTTTCTTCATTCGCAGAGAGTGACTCGGAATACCGTCCAAGGTTGGCAAGTGATACACCAAGATCTCCAAGTGACCGAGCCAAATCAGCAGTGTAGGAATCAGGGTCCGCGGACACAAGGCAACGACAGAGCCCAACAGAGTCATTTGCCAACTCATATGCCTCCTGCAATCTCGAAAAGAATGCAAGATTACTGTGCACATTCCCAAATACTTTGACCAGCATTTGAATGACTTCTTTTGAAGTTTGATCTACACTCAACTGAAGGAACATGCGACTGAATAAGGATGAGTTATGAATGCTGTTATAATCCATACCTTGGCCCACTCAGGGAATGATGATATACTAATATACCCGCCTGTCCTCACACAGACTTCCACCCAGTGCACCATTTGTTGATCGAGGAATGCGTGAAATGACCCATTGAGTACTTCCAGTGGCTCCCGAACTTGATTGAGGTGATGCGCGATATACCGACATGCGTAATACAGCTGTTCCGACAGCGTCCCTTCCGCAATAGATGGCAGCTCAGCCTTTTCCGACAAACCCTCTTCAATCAACCCCAAACCTTTCACAGAGGAAAGATCCTTGTTCATGATATCGATACAGCGTAGAGTCACTTTGGCATTCTCCCTCCTCACATCCACTGCAAACCGATGATGTGTTGGTGATTGTGAACCGACTCGCTCTGTGGGAAAATCACGGAAGGATTGATGTAACACACGAATCGGTATGTGAGAATCCCCAACTCCCGAGACGAGCGGAGAGAGTTCTTCTAACGTATAGTGGACAGGAGACTTCAGGTGTGGTGACAGGATCGCATCCCAAGCCGCTACGGATAATGGCTGTTGCACGATTAGGATCGAGCCCATCACAATTGGATAGTCGTGCATAAAATCGTCGTTCCCCCAGTCGCACTGCTCTAAAACTCTTGTATACAGCCTATCCATCTCACCCTCAGCGGGAGCCTTCGATCGATTCGCACCAGTATCGAGAAGCTCCTCCAGCATCCTCATAAGAGGACGACGTGTGTTCTGCATATAGCGGAACACAGTACTGATCCAAATGAACAACCCGCCTGCACGTCCCAAAATGTCTTGGACCAATTTATCCTCGTCATTGAGTTCGCCTTTCAAATGGGGATGCATATTCATCAGCTCACGTAGCTGCATACGGACGTAGATATCGCAGTCCCGAACATTGGCATCGTCCGAGAGATCAATGCTGAGCCGATCAATGACGGAATAGTTCGAGAGACAGGGACCAAGAAGGCCAAATTGCCTTGAGGTGACAAAGAATTTGATGTTTGAGGGTAACTTGGGAACCTGTTCCCAAAGTATTTTGGCAAGGTACTTGAATGCTTGTTCATCGCATTCATCCAAGGCATCAATAATGACCATCCCAGGGCTATCGGAAGGCGGCGCCTTCGGACGGAAAGGCTCCGCCACTAATTTCTCGAATTGCATCGGGAAGGAGGCAGTTGCGAGAGTCGGGTCTTTCTGGATGGTGGATATGAGATAGGAACGATACGTTGGGTCGTGCGTTGCGAGCGATCGGGCCATTCCGCTGAACAAATGATCCGGGCGCGATTGCTCCCCGGCTTTGAAGAAGAAACTGAGCAGCAACATCCCTCCTTTGCTGCACTCCTCAGCGATCGAGTGAGCAAGAGATGTCTTGCCGGCGCCGGCCACGGCTGTCACCAGTAGGACACGGTTCTCGCTATTTCCCTCGTTACGACACCAGGTCATAATGTCCTCGATCAAACCAGTCCTCGTGCCTTCCAAGCATGCCTGAGTCAAATCGTGATGGGCGACAGCAGGGTATCGGAGTTTGTCCAGAACTGAGGAATTCTCGATTTCACGATTTAATCGATCTTGATTATTTCCTAGTTCCAAGTTCGTCCCCAGCTGCGCAGTTAGGATAATGAGATCAAAGTAGTAACATAACCGTGAGGGCCAAGCGTAATTACCTGAAATAATGCTAAGGCTTCGTCAAGATGTCGCTTCAAATCGTTAATTCTGCCAGGCTTCTTCATATGAGAGAAGAAATTGCGGATGCCTGACCGCTTTCCCATCTTTTCACTCAGCCTGCCGATTTCGGTTTGAATGCGCTGCAGCGCCCTTTGAAACACCTATGTTATACGAGGGCGAGAACAAAGAGCAAATGCTACATACTGATTTAGCTTTCTGATGTTCCCCACCCACGCTCCTTCGCTGGATGCATCATATGAGTCAAGGGCCGCGACCACACGGGCCGTTGCGTCTACAACATATCTTCCGAAACGCTCCCATTCCTCCTTACTCTCTTTGAACTTCTACACATTCCAGATTATCAAATTTCGTCCCAAACTCGGTGCAAATCGCTACGAACTTTGACCTCATCGAGGATAAAGAGTGCTGCCCCGGTGGCAGCTTGTAAGGGAGGGAGCACACCTGACGCAGAATTGACCGCATTGAGAACTGGAACCGCAACGTCACCTCCCGCGGAAATGATGTCATGGAGCCTTTGCTTCAGAGACATGGCGGATAACGGACGAAGCGATTGGACGCGGACGATGATGATGATCAAGCGCAGATCACAGCCCAGTTTGTCCCATTATGGGAAGTCCTGCGGCAGATTCCATTAATCCTTGGCTACTCGCAACTATCCATTCCACTGTCATCTTATATAGATGGGGCTTGGTATGAAATTCAGTACAACACCTTGGGCCAGGGCGAAGTTTGGCCCATACAGTGATTTCCCTGTGTCATCCAGCTTCTATCTCTCCGGGACCGAACAAAGTAGCCACGATGGTTAGGAATGGCGCCTCGAGATCAGTGAATGAATTTGGTCAAGGCTCCAATATAGACTGTGAACGAGTCAGGTGCAAGTGTGAGGCGACGAGCGACATTTGAGAGAGTAGGATCCAAGGAGAAAAGAATCGGTCAATGCTCTGGAGCCCCCGTCCGCCTCCGACTCTGTTTGGCATTGTTCCGCATTTGAATTGAACCGTGAATCTTGGCATCATCCAAGGATCCCATCGTTCTTCAAATGTCCCTCATACCTTGATGTTTAGCATGCAATTGAAACGGTCAAGCATGACCTGTAATCTCACCCCACTGACCGCTGATTGATTGTCCTGAAACGAGCAACTTATAGTTTGATTCAATTTCCTCCAGCTTTTTCGCAGGGACTTTCATTGGAATCTCCCTGATCTCCTGGCTATTGCTTTCGGGAAATGTATCGTACTACCGTAAAGTCAAAAGACCAACTTCCTCAAGCGAGGCCTACGCTGCTTGAAATCCCCTCGCTTCAGATGGCGTCTCCCAAGAGGGAACACCTTAAGACTGGATTAATCCAATGGCAATTGTTCCAATGCACATCGGCACGAACGCACCCTCTTCAAAACTCAGTCGTCTGCAAGGTACAGTGATCGATGTCTGTGACGTTTACACTGCATTAGAACTTGACAGATCTGCTCTCCCTGTTATACTCACAGCGGCGGACGATTGTTCGTTCTCTGTAGATCTGCTGGCAGTGCCTCCCGTACGTACATCTCAGAAGTGCGGCGGGGACATGTTGAGATGAAGTGAGGATTGGTCTCACGAGTTTTCCATTCAGGCTAGTATGTAGAAGATGGGGAATTGCTATGGATATACACTGTATGTGATGCACAGGAGACTTAATTATGGGGTTGGTGTCCATCATTATTGCCACAACGTTTGGACTAGCCTCTCGTGCTTTCCGCGACAACCCAATGCGAACGATCAGGGTAGTAAAGACTAGGTATTCGGAACAGTGGCAGCATGAGGGCCAGATAAGGCGCGCCAAGCGCAGCGTCCGGGCTGACAAAGGTCCCGGAGAAAACTCCGGAGCGACCATGAATGGCAACTCATTCACTGAATTGATTATGGCACTCCGAAATAAATGTAAGTAGGTGGGACCAATTCACTTCGGGGCTTCTCCCGTTCAACTGGAACCCATCCCCGTTCGCTCTTTCTCTCCGATTTTGGTCCTCACTATTTGATCTTGATTCCCTGAGGCTGAAACGATGACCCAAAATCAAATTCTTTTCGCCCTCACCACGGTTCTTGGCTTTTCGCGAACGAGATACACAATGTTTGCACTCACAATACTGCTGTCTGCATCCATTCTGGCTTGGTGTTTCGTTAATCAACTATCTCTTTTTTATGCTTCCCACGGTCTTGGTCCTGACCAACAGACTCCATATTTTGCCGGCATTGTGGTGCAACGATGCCAATTTGAATATCCCTACCATCTACTGAGGAAGCGAGATTAGCGCATGTAAGGAGTGGTACTGTACTCACACGAGCAACTACCTGTCACGCGTCACACGAGCGGGGGTGTCGGCATTTCCCGGTTGAAAGGTATGCCGGGGGGGCCCGGACATGTAACTTCATGTACTTACATGCAAGGTCTAAAACAACATTGGGGTGACCAAATTCAAGTAAATAGGCTATTGAGGTCATGTTTGCGGGTCTGGCCAATGGGGGAATGCTTGTTATGTCAAAACCCTGAACCAACTGATGCTTGCAGAGTGTCCCCTCCCTATTATCCCCAAACCCAACCCATTTAATGAGCCCAGAGTTATTCCCACCTAGTTGATACTGTTGGAAATGCGAGTCACCGGAGATATCCACGGGCATGTGGAGGATAATGTGGAGGATTTTACTAAGCATGCAGCCTGCACAGGAGTTGCCTTACGTAGATTTTCCTCTTTATTCATTCCTTTGTATATATATATGCACGGACATTATCCCCAAATCACGAGTTATATTCCCGCTTCTATCTTACATCTGTGCTATGAGTGAGCCGCTAGGAACCGGGTTGCCTTATCCGGAACGCCATTTCCAACGGATACCTCATCCCATCCCATCGAATGGGACTGATTATGATTTAACATCTCCCTAGTTATCAGCAACGGAACTAAGCATGGTATTGATGTGTGGTAGAAATAGTGGTAAATACATGGGTTGAAGCCCAACGTATCATTGACAGCAAAGGGAGCCAATGACACTGTGCCACCTCAAAAGTTTGTTTTGGTTCAAAAACAGGACCAATTTGGAGTTTGGAGCTGGGTTAGGCTGGGTAATAGCCTTTGGCCTATAGCTGGGTTGGGTTGGGGAATAGTGGGGAGGGAAGGTTGGCAATGAATGATGAAAAATGTGACCATACCATTTCATGGCACAAGTCATGATTGTGCGGTGCTGTAGGGAATGGATGTGTGGTGATGCGTGCTGTGCATGCTTTCTTTATTCATTGTTTATTACTCTTTATTTCTCGATGTAAACAATGTATATAAATTGCGGGGAAGGGTGAAACAGGTTTTCACTCTTCTCCTCCCCTGTCGAATGTCAGAGACGGGATTTATTGTCAGAGACTGGATTATTGTCGGAGTTGGAGGTGATGCAGAGGTCTGTTGGAGCGGGCACGCGCGGATATGCGGGCGGAACTATGCGGCGCGTCCGGAAGCGCTGTTCAAGGTTAGCAGAGTGGGATCGCGGCCTCAGCGACTCAGGTGGAGCGCTGTGCCCTGAGCTTGACATTTGGGGGAGATCCCGTATTTACGGATTGACACTCACAGTGGACTTCAAACAAGACTTGCGGGCGGAGCGGACCTGTAGGAGGAGCGTGGACTCCGTGAGCACGGACTCAGAGGGGGGGAAGCCCCCTTTGCAGAAGGAGAGACTCAGACCAGACAGGGGGGGTACTCTAGTTGATTTCAGACTAAGGTCCCCGAAAGTATCTACAGGATATAAATAGGCAGGAGGGAAACACAGAAGGACCGGTCAGTCCGGCGTGGTCCGGCGCGGAAATAAGCGGGGATTGTCAAACTGAATGAAGGACAAGAGCCCGGGAAATGGGAGGCAATGAACTAAACAAAAGCGGATCAAGTACCAATATTGACAGGTAATAAGAAGTGCATCAGCACATGGATCAAGTGCCAATATTGGCAAGTTAAGCGAATGAATGGATGAACAATATAGGCACTCGGCAAGGAATGAATGGTATGCTGCCGAGTGACAAGATGGCCAGAGAAAAGCGGAGGTCAGCGCGCAGCGCCGATACAAGTCCGCAAATAAGCGGGGTCGGTGCGGTGCCGACACAGGTCCATGAAGGGACATGGAAATCAGCATGGTGCTGACAAGTCCGCAACAGAGGGTGGTCCGTCAGTGCCGTCACAAACAAGGGCAGCATGATGGCCAGCAAGGTTGGAGGGGAGTGTTGGCCTGACCACAGGGTGTGGAGGGCAACCAGGAGTGGCAGAGGTCCAGAAGGTGTGGAGGTGGGCAGAGGTACAGATGCGGGTGGGGGTCCGGATGCGGGCAGAAGTCCAGATGTGGGTGGAGGTCTGGATGCAGTGCATGGTTGATAGGGCAGGGGGCCAGACATCGGATTGGGGGCTGGTTAGATTGGGTTTTGGGTCGGCGGATTCACCTATCGGCATTGATTCGCCGCTGACGGAGCCCCAGGATTTGTTGGTCGTGACATCGAAATAAAGCTCTATACTGCCTAACTTCTGACAGCTTGAGGATAGCAAGAGTCAACACCAAGGTCGGAACCTCAACCGACCTTACAGGTGCCTGCTTGGGTTGGGTTGGGTAATAACCAGGTGGGAACAATGGGTAATGTTGCCAAATATGGGCAAGGCAACTGCCAAAGTCTGTGGCATTCTCTGATTGAATTGGGGGGGGGGTTTCCCAAGGTTGGGGAAAACATGTAACTGGCATACCTTTTGTGACTGCATTACCGACACCCCCTTGGCCAGGAGGTCTGGCTCAAAACACAGCCATGTCACATGTCACATGAAGGAAAAGGCTGGCCAACTTATGTCATGCCCCAACAGCGCTTGGCTGCCCAGTGGCTGTGTGAATGTATTTAAAATTGCCTTTTAAAGTAATTACATTTAAAAACGAAAAATTGCCATTTCTTCATCCAAATTGCATGTCTGCCTGGCTTGCATTCCATGGCCTTGAGGCTCGCAGCCCTGGGGATCAGAAGGGGAAAGTAAGCTAGTCTCACCAAGAGTATCTGGCTCAGCCTCCTCAGCACAAGTGGATGCCACCAGGCTCAGTCCATTGTTGACTGCCTCAATGTCAGGGCACACACCCTGACTAGCCTGGACCCGGACCTGCATGCGTGCTCCGCCCCACATGCTCTGCATGCCGCATGCTCCGGGCCTGGTTCCCACTTCTCATGTGACTTCCGGGTATCCCCAGAAGTTTTTGCCATATTGGGCCACTGTGGGAAGGTGAGGAGTTAACCTTCTTCTCACTTTCTTACCCACAGTAGGCAAGTGTATCTTACTTGCCTTCTATCTTTTATACACTTTCTTACCCACAGTAGGTTGTGCCTTAGGATAGGCTGTTTACACACAGGGCTGTGGGCTATAGAGAGAGGGGTCATGGGGACCCGGGGTCCGTCCCCTGACACTCAAGCCTTTCAGGTACCACATCCCCTACCATATACTCAAAAACTTCCTCCACCATCACATCCCGTCATCTTCTGGAGTACCTGTG